TACCGGAAACCACTTTCCTAATATGAAATTAAAAATAACGTTTTTACCTTCTGAACAAATAATTTTTAGGCAAAAAACAAAGCCGACTTAAATTCTCATTCAAAAATTTAATAGTACCGTTAATTTCTTCATGACCGCTATATACCATCGCACCAAAATTAGAGATATTCTTGTTGGTCTTTCCTATTAACAACACAGAAAAAAACATTTAACCACAATAAGCAATCACATCGCCTTCAAAATCTCAATCTAATAGGTTTGTTTTAAAATTTTTTAAACATTTTATTTTCATACAAATTCATCAAAAAGTAACGATAAATAAAAACTTAACTTTAACGAATAGAAAAGTGAATTGTAAGTGGATGTGTTAAATGTAATGCAAATATGTATGCATATATTAACTAAAATAAAGTTTTCTTAAATGCTATTTTATAATTACACTGGGTGACAGTGTAAATTAACATGGATCGTAACATACACCCCCGACAAACGATAGCACATCATTTATAATTTTTGTACAAAGTCTGAAAATTAGATTTAAATGGTATTTGTTAGATAAAGAGCTATACTTTTATAGAAAAATAATGAACCTTAAATAATCAAAAGAAAAGTAGTCAAAACGTGTAAAAATGGTGATGTGCTATATTTTGTCGCGGGGTGTAGGATCTACTCAAGTAATAAACAACTGTAACATGTGAAAAATACATATATGTACATATAGCATGTATAGTCATGTGAAAAATAATAGGGACAGGGCCTTTTGGACCAGTTTTGGCTATTTTTCTTTTGATTGTTCAATGTAACATAATTGATTATCAAACAAACACCATATAAATCCAAATTTCAAACTTTAGAGGAAAATTCAAAAAAAAATTTACAACAAACTTTTTATTAAGAATTTTTAGAAAAAATCCAAGTATGCAGTTTTATAGCCCATTAAATTCTAGCTTAAGAAAGTCCAAGTTTCAAGTGGCTAAGAATAAGCGTTGATTTTTGATAATTTTTTTGCGGATGTTATTATTTTCTTCTAACTATAAAAAAAA